CAACTATAAATATATAGAAAAAATTAGCCGGGCATGGGGCGCATGCCTGTAGTCCCAGCTACTCGGGAGGCTGAGGCAGAAGGATTGCTTGAGCCCAGGAATTTGAGGTTGCTGTGAGCTAGACTGACGCCACGGCACTCTAGCCCGGGCAACACAGTGAGACTCTGTCTGAAAAAAAAAAAAAGGAGACATACAAATGGCCCAGAGGAATATGAAAAAATGCTCAACATCACAAGTCATCAGAGAAATACAAATCGAAACTACAATTAAATATTACCTTGCCCCAGTTAAAATGTCTTTTATTCAAAAGACAGGCAATCATGAATGCTGGTGAGAATGTGGGGAAACAGGAACACCTATACACTGTTGGAAGGAATGTAAATTAGTGCAACCACTATGGAGAATACGGAGGCTCCTCAAAAAACTAAAAATAGAACCACCGTATGACCCGGCAATCCCACTGGTAGGTATATTCAAAAGAAAGGAAATTAGTATATTGAAAAGATATCTGCATTCCCATGTTTATTTCAACACTATTCATAATAGCCAAGATTTGGAACCCACGTAAATGTCCATCAGTGGATAAACAGGTAACAAAATGTGGTGTGTGTGTGTGTGTGTGTGTGTATATACACACATACAATGAAATATTATTCTGCCATAAAAAAAGAATGAACTGACATTTGCAACATGGATGGAACTGGAGAACATTATATTAAGTGAAATAAGCCAAGCACAGAAAGACAAATTTCACGTTCTCACTCAAATTAAAACAATTGATCTCATGAAGATAGGTTGAGTAGAATGTTACTACAGGCTGGGAAAGGTAGTAGAGAGGGGAGATAAAGTGGGGATGGTTAAGGGGTGCAAAATACCATTAGTCAGATAGAATGAACAGTATTTGATAGCATAACACAGTGAGTATAGTCAACAGTAAGTTACTGTATACTTTAAAAGAACTAAAAGAGTAGAACGGGAATGTTCCTAACACAAAGAAATGATAAATGCTTGAAGTGATGGACACCCCGATTACTCTAATTTGATTATTATACATTGCATACCTGTATCAAAACATATGTACCCCATAAATATATACAACTATTATGTACCCATAATTAAAAATAAATTTTTTTTTAAATCTACCAACAATCACAAATGAGAGTCTACACTATGATCCTCAAGTAAAATCTTGCAAATAGTACCTCCTTCCTAAAATACCTTATTCATAAGCCCTGCAAGAAGCAAAACACTAATTGCACATTAACCACGTTTAAGAAGTCTAGCATTCAGATTGAAGCACTTAAAGTGTTTTGTTTGTTGTATTGTTCTTAAAATAATTCTTGAAATCCTGAATGGATATTTGGAAACTATTTACCAACTTGTCATAGTTCATTGATTCTAAAACAATTTTTTTCATATTTTAACAGCTCTTATGGATCTTATAATCCATAGCATCTTATAATTAATAGATAGCATTTTTTTTCCATAATGGTATTTAAATAATGATGTTCTTAAAACAAATGGTGCCTTGGAGTCAAAGAAGGAATAAGGTAGGTTCAAAGTACACAGTGTCAGCCGGGTGCAGCAGCTCACACCTGTAACCCTAGCATTCTGGGTGGCCGAGGCAAGAGGATCACTTGAGGTCAGCAGTTCGAGACCAGCCTGAGCAAGAGTGATAC